AATACCTATCCATCTGAGAAGATGCAACTTTTTTTTTCTCCAAAGTTGCTCACAATGGCTATGAAAAAAATTATTTATTCTTTTGCCTGCTTCAGTAGTATTACTAATGCTGTACATACTATATACTAAAATAAACAGGGAAAATATGAAATTAAGAATTGTCCCTTGTCTGTTTGGATTGAGTTACTCTGCAAAACAGAAAAGCTTTCATCATTCTGTGGAACTAGAAAGCTAAAACACACCTTTTTAAGAATCTGGAAAAGGAAGAAAGCAGAAAAACTAATAAGCCTGTTGGCAATCTCAGGAGGCATTCTGTTTGTGGAGAAGCAATGAACTAGAATGCCTCCTGAGACTACTGAGGCGTGACTCCTGTATCTTATTTACAGCAGTTCAGCACAAACTACTGCCAGCATGTGTGCCAGATTACTATGCGGTACAAAAAATGGAAGCATCAGTTTCCTTTCACTAGTACGGCCCCAGTTTTGAGCTATATTAGCACCACTTTCAGCTGATTTCCTGCCCTGTAATTCCACTGTGTGTCATCAAAATTCAGTTCTAACCAACATGAGGTGGCCATTCCTGGGCTCAAAGATGTCTTTCTGATGCTAACTGGTCAGGAACCATTTTGCTGACTGCTATACCAGCTACTACAGGGGAGGGAAAGGGCACTAAGGGGAACCACATGGCAAAAGGAAGGGACAAAATTTGTCAACTGCTTAAGTTAGGATTCCCAAGATCATGTTAACATATAGCTCCTTTTCATAACAAAATGGTTTTCTCAACAAAGGCAACCAAGATCAAATCTATGTTGCTTTAATAAACCATTTGATATATGTTATTCCTCCATATGAAGAAGATGGGAATTTGTTCAAGAAGTTTTAAGTGGGAAAGCCAGATAGGGATAAGACAGGTCACAGCAGAGGGAGAACTAAGGAAGATTCTAATGGAGATCCTGAATGAGCAGTTGAGACTCAGTTGTAACTCCAGTTAAGTCTTCAACCCAGTTAAGATTTCATCTTATTAACTATTTTAATGACAAGCTTGGAAAAAATGAAAGTATGTGCTAATGAAATTTGCAGATAGCCTGAACAGAGGCTTTATTAAAACAGAGGAAGGAAGACTGGAATATAGAAACAAATGGATGAACTCATATGCTGGAATACAATTAAATTAGAAACTAATAAAATAGAAGCTACAATGTCAGAGCTTATCAGCTGGAAATATTAGTCTATCACAGAACAACTACTTGGTGCTGAGAAAAGGCACATACAATCCTAGGGCAAATATGTCACGTATATCTGCAAGTCTAGTGTTACCACCATGGTATATGGCAGCTGAACACTGCAATCAGAGCATACAGGTATCATTTTACGTTTCAGCATATTTCTATTTGGAGTCTATAAAATCTACTACTACTTTTTAGTTAAAGGGTCAAACAGAGCCTGTTTGTTGGTTTTTTTGGGTTGTTTTTTTTTACTGAAGGTCTTCCATTTTGTATCCTAGATTAAGTATTATATATACCAACTGATGGATTTTAATTATGCTGAAATTTCCCTCACTCCAGATTTTACTTTTATTAGGCTGTAGGATCCTTTTGTTTGTGTCAGCTTTGGTCATGTAGATTGAGTTGAATTATCCCACTCACACAACTGGAAATTATTCACAAAAACATGTAGTTTTCATGGATATGGTGAAGTATCACCATAAGAAAATCGTGGTACTGTATTAGCTGTCTCACAGTAAACAGCTTTCTATCCCGTATCAATCCAAAGAGATTGTGTGGGTGTGTCCAATTTTGAACTAATGTTATTTACACACATTTAACAGAATATGATGTGCTTGCTAATTTCCTGAATGCTCAGTTTCATTACGTACATTTCCAACTTCCACTGAAAGCTTACAGCTACTGACTCTACCCAGAAAGATAATCACAAATTTACACATGGTTCTGAACCTAAGGAAGCACTAACTCAGTTGCAAGACTCCCATTAATTTCACTGGGACCAGAGCTTCAGAGATGAAATGCTGCCTCTTCAAGGTTATCATTTCTATATCCTTATACATGACAGAGCTCTCACTGAGCAGAAGGCTACCTCCAACAGCATTGAGAGATGAATCTGTTTGACAGTGTGCAGTTAAATCTCCCCTACCTCCACTTCTCCTTACACTCACTCATTCCATTATTTTATTTTAAATTTTATCAGCTTTTCTTGGGGAAGACCTCAGGCTTTCATTCTCTTACTTCCCTCTGGTATCACATTAGCTACACTCCAGCCTTCCAGAGCCAAAGCCACTTCACGTAAAGGTGAGCTTACTGTAGTTAATAGAATAGTTGCCTTCAAGTAATTCTGGATGCTTGGTCAATACTGCCTGACCGTGCACATTTGTTAATCCCTGTTTTGTTGGCTTTCCCTGCTATTTTGTCACTTCAGGCCCTGCAGAGGATTCAGAGGACACTCTAGTGCACCCTCTTACAAAGCTTCTGCTTTGTAAGTTAAAACTTATTCTATTTTACTTTCCTCATGGTGAACGCAGGCACAGAAAATGCACTTACTGATTGGCTTTTCAAAACACTGCTTTCAGCAGCACCGGGCTGCCCCCAGCGCTACACGCAGCTGGAGCGGGCTGGGCAGAGCATACCTATTTTAAAAAGCCTCTTCAGGACGCAAGAAACACCTTCTGCCCCTGCCTTCCCCAGCCACGGCCCGCGGGCCGCCCCG